TCTGTTCTTAAGTCCCTGGAATCTGGGAGAACACTGTTGCTTTAAATATCCAAAATGGTCAAGCTGCCTGTAAACATTCAAAATGTCTGTGCCCTCTGGACAGACAAAAGTCCACAGCTCAGCCTGTCTTCCTCTTTGCTGCTTCCCCTATTATTCTCCATCCACCAGAGCAGTCCTCCGTGCAGTCCCTGGCTAGCAAGGCTGATTTTTCGGTTAATTCTTAGGTCCTATCACCACTCAGCAATATATGTCCAAGCTGTCTGTGCCGTCAGGATCATTGCCAGACCACAGCTCCGTTTGTCTCCTTTTTTGGTGTTTTCATGCAAATTGTTCTGTTAGTTGGAGTTTAGTCCACTTCTGTATCCTTCCCTTCAAGGCTCAGGGGTCCAGGATTATCTTCTGCATCTGTGTTAATTGGTTCCCCTTTTCTTTGTTGAAGAGGGTCTGCAGTCTTTCTGCCTATTCCTCCATCTTACTGGAACTCTCGCAATGCCTTTTTAATTTATTGTTGTTTTTATGAGATTTTTAGAAGAGAGTGGAAATAAATGCATATTCAATCTACCATGTGTCGCCGTGTATCAAAGTAAGATGAGGATTAATATATGACTAATATGTTAGTTTGAGGCCATTTACCATATCACATTAGTACCATAATCACAGGAATGATGAGAGTAGACTTGAGATTGTAGTATGTTGAGGTGTCAGTGGAAGGTGAAATGATATAGGCTACTTCTTTGAGATACTTAACTGAAGGAGAAAAAAAGAGTTAAAGTAGATAAAGGAGATTTTTTTTTTTTTTTAGAATAGAAGATATTGAACATTTTTTGTAGACTGAGCATAAAGACTCCTGTTACATTGTTGTTGTTACGTGCCGTTGAGTCGGACCCGACTCATAGCGACCCCTCCTTGGGTTACGGAGGCGGTATCACTACGGAAGTAGATTGCCCCATCTTCCTTCCGAGGAGTGGCTGGTAGGTTTGAATCACCAGCCTTCTGGTTAGCAGTCAAGTGCCTTAGGCACTATGCTACCAGAGCTCCCATAAAGACTCATAGAGAGAAGGAATAGAAGATGCAGGACTGGTTGGACTAATTGGGAGAGCAGATCCTTGGGTTCTAAAATACAAGTTAGAGGAATTAAGTCTTAAGAAGAAGAAATAGTTGTTGTTGTTGTTGTTATTTGCCATCGAGTCGGCCCCGACTCATAGCGACCCCTCCTTGGGTTTCCGAGGCAGTATCACTACGGAAGTAGGAATGCCCAACCTTCCTTCCGAGGGGACTATTTAGCCCTCAGAGAGCTCTCTCTTTTCTAACTCTCTGTCCATGTCTCCCAGCCTTTAAGTCAGGAACAAATATTTGAGGGCCTACTTAGTACCAGGCACTCTCACGGGTTCTAGGGTAAGTAAGTCAATAAAACAAAGCCCCTTCCCCTTATAGGCCTTAACATTCTAATGGAAGATGAGCAAAAAAAAAAAAAGTAAACATACAGAATATCAAAAGGGAGACCGTGCAGCAGGGAAAAATAGAGCAGAGTAAGGAAGACATGGAGTGCTGGGGAGGGAAGAGCTTGCTGTTTTTGTTGGTGGGTCAAGGCCTCATGAATAAAGTGACATTTGAGCTGAGAGCTGAAGGAAATAAGAGAAAGCCATACAGATAACCTGGTGGAAGAGTCCTCCAAACCAGAAGGATATTAAGTTCAGAAGCCCCGAGGCTGGAGGCTTTTTGTTCTCTTTGGAAGAGCTGAACTACACTCATGGCTCTTCTTCCACTGACACAGCTACATATATGCCAGCGACTCATAGAAGTGTCCCCTCTGTGACTCCTATGGTAATAATTCACCAAGTCTTTATTAACCTTTTCTGTTGCTCTTAGGAGCTCTGGTGGTGTGTAGTGCATAAGGCACTTGACTGCTAACCAGAAGGTTGGCGGTTCAGATCCAGCAGCCATTCTTTGGAAGGAAGGTTGGGCAATCTACTTCCGTAGTGATACCACCTTGGAATCCCAAGGAGGGGTCACTATGAGTTGGGGGCGATTCGACGGCACATCACAACAGTAACAATGTGTTGCTGTTACATCCATTCCTTCCTCTCTATTCCCAGTCAGTCTCTCAGTTAAGGTCCCTTTCATTTCTTCTTTGGCCTTATCTTCTCATCATTCTTATATAACACTTTTAAAAGGTATGTTTTCAATTCCCTGATTAAATTTCTCCAGCAGTTTCCCATTAACACGTGGAGTAAAACTCAGACTTACTGGTAAAGCCCCTTTCCTTTCACGCTTAATTTCATCTCTTGCCATTGCTTCCACAGTGAACTTATGTACTTCTAGTCCCTGGATGTGTGGATATTCTCTCTTTAATTTTTGGTATTTACACATATTTTGACCTTAGTTTAGATTGGGTTCTTTCCATCTCCCCAAAGGTTACTCTTAATTTGTCGTTTGAGAATCAACTTGAGTATTACCTCTTTACTGACTATAATTACTTTAGGTACTACTTCTCTGTCTTTCTAGAGTACACACCTTTATAGTATTTAACACTGTATTATAGTTGTTTACTTGTATATTCCCCACTAAGGAGTCTAGTGGTATAGTGGCTAAAGCATTCAGCTGCTAACCGAAAGGTCAGCGGTTCCAACCCAGCAACCACTTTATGGGGGAAAGAGGAGGCATCTGTTCTGTAAAAATTTACAACCTTGGAAATCTATGAAACAGTTCTACTCTGTCCTATAGGGTCACTACGAGTCAGAATCAACTTGATGGCAGTGGATGTGTTCGTCACTGAACTGCGAATTTCCTGAAGACACAGACTGTCTTTTTATTCCTAGATGTTCTAACATCTAGCTTGGTGTCTAATATATAATAATTATTTATTTAATGTCTATAGCATGAAAAAAATAATTTCTTTTGTGTTATAAATTATTTTTCAGATTCGATACATTTCTCAGACTCAAGGTTTACCAGGAGAGCAGTTATTAAATGTGGGTACAAAATCCACAAGATTTTTTTGCAGAGAACCAGATGTTTCTCATTCTGGTTGGAGATTAAAGGTAATTCAAATATATATATATATATATAGATAGATAGATATAGAATAGTTAGGATAAAAATAGTTTTCCAAAATGCCTCATACACATGGATAACTTCCATGCTTATCTTTGTTTTATTACATTTCTTCCTTTTGCATTTTCAGTTTTGACCCTTTTTTCTTTAAGAGGAAAGCCTTCCCAGGATATCTTTGTTCATAATTTTAACTCTTACATGTTTCTTAAACTTTTATGAGTATAATTTCATTTGTGTATGTATTTAATCTTCTCATTATTCTACATTATTACATTTCATAGGGCAAGGGCTGAATCTAACCAAGTACATAATATATTGCTAGGATTTTTGGGGTATAGTTAAATACTCAGTGATGTACTTGACAATTAGTTATTTTATTTAAGGAGTTTTATTATCTCTATCTCTCAATCTCTCTCTCTCTATATATAATGTATATTCTATATATCTTAATATATTTATATATATGTGTGTGTGTGTGTATATTGTATGTATATTCTATATATCTTAATATATTTAAATGTCTGTATATTTTCTTGGCCTGAATCAAGCTCTTCTGATTTTTTTATTTTTAAAATACATTTTTGATATTACTCCTTTGGAACTTCTACTTGCCTTAGAATATTCAGTATATTAGACTAAATGTACTAGGGTTAAAGAAAAATTTATAAATAGTAGTTAATAATGTATGCTTTTCCCTCTTTGATGTTTTCAATAAGACTCTAGAAGAGCATGAGGCAGAGACAGGAATGAAGTCTAAAGAAGCCAGAAAGTACATATTCAACAGCCTGGATGATATAGTGCATGTGAGTGTCACAGTCACATTTAGCAATCTTTTATGCTTAAAATGGTAGACTTGAATGCCAAGAATGACAAATCATGTTAATCATTTTCTAAATGACTGAGCACTTGCTGTTTTAAAACTTTTCAAATGAAATTAATTCTGCAGTTTCAGCCTTTCAGGCACAAAATTGCATTTGTCTCTATCAGATTTTTAATATATACTATCCTGTTCTTTAGTAAAACGTGCTTTCTTTAAAAGGAGAATGCCAAGCAAACAATTTCCTTTTTCTTTATATCTTCTTAGAAAAAGGATATTTGTTTAGTTAAAAAAAAAAGTTTTGTTTTTTTTTCCTGCTTTGAATCCCATTTGATATTTAAAACATTTTGAGCATTTATGAAGTTTAATTATTATTACTTATTTCAAGGTAATTGTAGTTCCCTAGTCTTTGATAATTTTTTCTTTTAATTGTGAAACTTTAACATTTATTACCCTCTGTGATTTATTTTTATTTGATGACTTGAAATTTTGTTTTCTTAGGTGAACACAGTGATGGATTTGGAAGGAAGTGATCTTTTGGCTGAGAAAGCTGATAGAAGAGAATTTGTTAGTCTGTTGAAGAAAATGTTGCTGATTGATGCAGATTTAAGAATTACTCCAGCTGAGACTTTGAACCATTCTTTTGTTAATATGAAACATCTTCTAGATTTCCCTCATAGCAACCAGTACGTTATTTTAAAATCTTTTGAAAGTGATTCTGGAAAAATAATCATACCAAGTCTATAGAAAATCAGTGTGTTAGAAAAATGATTTTATTTCTTCACTGAATAGAAGTAAACGGAGTGAAACAAGGTTAAGTGACCTTGGCCAAATTCCAGTTAGTGGCTGAGTAGAACTAGAATGCAAGTCTTGCTCTTTCTCCAATATACTAAACTGAAAATAAGACTGAGTGATTGTGTTTTTACATTACATTCTTACTTTAACAGCCAGGTACACGTGTAATGAAAGGGAATGTTAACAGTGTTCTCTCCCAAGTCATATTTCATTTTTCACAGCCCTTAGGTTCTGGTCTCTCTGAGACCTGCGATTCTGTTTTCCATTTCCCTTCACATCACTTGCTTTTCTTTTTCCACTTCTCCAATGTGGAAGAGAAGGAGATTTTTTATGAGTTATCAGAGAAGAATATATGTTCAAATTTAGAAGACCTTACTAGTATCACTTTGGACAAATCTTTTGAATGCTTTGATTCCCTAGACCTTTTCTTTATGGGATAAATGAAGTAAAATACGTGATTTAAAACTGCTTTATAAAAATTTCTTTAAAAGATTGAATAAAGAAGACAAAGGGATGAACCATTATCTAATATTGTGGATTGTCCTTAAAATTACTATTTCTATAAAGCCCAACATTTTTTCCCCAAAAACATCTAAAAATATCCTAATGATGTCCACATATAAGGGCTTTGAAACTGACATCTAACGACATACTTGGTATCATTTATTTAAGGATGTGGGTTCCTAGAAATTTAGGAAAAAATATTTAGTGTAGGGGTCATAAAATTGTTTCCTAACCAAACAAAAATGCTTATTATTGTTTTACTCTCTTAAAAAATGTGGCAGATATAATTTTTTGTTCTAAGATGTCTTGGTAGAAATAGTATTGGAAATAGACAGACCAAGTGCAAATGATAGAATTCTTTTTTCTTTTGGAAGTGATCTAAAAGTTTTGTTAATATACATTGATTTTAAACCACTCTAGTATTTGAAATAATACAGTTATCTGTCCTGTCTTCTTTTGCAGTGTGAAATCCTGTTTTCATATTATGGATATTTGTAAGTCCCAACCAAATTCATGTGACACAAGTAATCATAATAAAACATCACTTTTAAGACCAGTTGCTTCAGGCAGTGCCGCTAATCTGACAGCAAATTTCACTAAAATTGGCACATTAAGAAGCCAGGTAAGAATTTACAGTGTTTAATAATTTATAAACCCCCGCCTTTTTTTTTCAGTGATTTCTCATTTTGCTTTTAAAGTATACAGACATTTCGTGTTGGCAGTTATAATTTATAGTGCTGATGAGGTCTTACTATGACTATTCTATGAAGTCTCTCATACTTCAGGTAATAAATGGAACGTATTTACTTAAATTCATCTTTTTATTTTCCTCTTTAGTTCTCTTTAGTATCTTCCTCCTTCCCTACTGTGCTACAGCTCTACCAAAAAATATAATTTTTCTGGTTCAGTAGACTCCATTTCTAAATTTTAGTTTTAGTCACCTTGCTTTTGTACTCATTTCTGGGCCCATTTTTGTTGTAGAATTATTTTAAGAAATGTGTTTGAATTCTATTTATTATGTATGTGTGTAGCAATTAGAAGACCGCTCTGTATAATGTGGTATATACACTGACCATTACAGGCATTAACTACATCCACTCATTCAATTGTGCACCATGGAATACCTCTGCAGGCGGGAACTGCTCAGTTTGGTTGTGGTGATGCTTTTCAGCAGACACTGATTATCTGTCCTCCAGCTATTCAAGGTATTCATTCATTTAAATTATATTTTCAGTTTAGGCATTTTTATTTTTAATTTAGATAGCTCTTCATTAACTATATTGCATAATTTGTGTGGCATTTAGTGCTATCACTTAGATGGTTGGTTTTCAGTGAAATTGGGAATCCAGTGGTGGTCCGTGACAGTGACCCATGAGTGGTCTGTGGTAGTAAAATATCTGTGTCACTGTATTGTCAGCACCCTTAAAGATGCTGTTTTGTTTGTTCTTTGGTTTTCCCCAACATTTTTAATAAAAATTCCAAACACAGAGAAAAGTTGAAAGAATAACTTTCAGTAGCCCTAGATTCAACAAGTGATAACTTTACACCATATTTGCTTTATCTATTGATCTATCTATCTACACACACACACACACACACATATCACACATTGTTGTTGTTGTTGTTGTTATGTGCCGTCGAGTCAGCCCCGACTCATAGCGACCCCTCCTTGGGTTTCCGAGGCAGTATCACTATGGAAGTAGGAT